GGCCAAGTGTCGGCCCGTCCGAGCACACGTACAGTGGGTCACCCGCTGACTCGCAGGAGTGAACTGGTCAACCCCCCCATCCTGTAGATCAGCACCACTCACCAAGTTCGTAGAGAACGAGGGGAGGTAGAGACCTGACAGGGTGCCAGAGGGGGCTGCCGGACACGGTAAGACAGTGGAGAAGCGAGCAAGGACAGGACCCCCAGAGGGGTCCGCCAGGGAGACCGCAACCGGCCGACTAAGCGGCGTAAGCGTGGTGCGGTCTCGAAAGAAGGAGCGGGAAGCACCCGAGTCAAGGGTGAAGGTGTGGAAGGCCTGAGCCGGCGTGGTACCTGAGAGAGCAGACTCACCAGCACCTGGGGCAGCAGACGCACTAGCACCTAGAGCAGCAGCCTCACCAGCACCTAGAGCAGCAGCCTCAATGCCCGGGTCAGGCGGAACACACAGGTAACAGTCACCCTCATCACTATTAGACACAGCATACATGGCAGCAAGAATAGCATCATAGTCAAGATCAAAGATAGCAACCCCCGCCCTAGACAGCTCTCCCCAGCGAGGGATCTCAGTGGCGTCAGGGAACTGGTGACGCCAAGCGTCCGTCAAGCGGCCGAAGCAGCGCTGGGTGGAGTGCGAGCCCCCGCACTGCTCACCAGCGCGGTCGCCGCTACGGAGGACGTAGGTACATGGACCAGTACCCCCACCTCGCTGACGCCCAGCGTACCACTCACGAAGCTGCTGGGGGGACAGGGTCTCACGAGTGCGCTGCTGCAGCTGGCGCGGACCACCACCGGAGCCACTCCTCTGCGTAGAGCCGCGACCAGCTCCACCGCCGCCGCCGCCGCCTCCGCCACCTCTGCCGCCTCCGCTCCCACCGCCACCGCCGCCGCCTCCTCCGCCTCCACTGCTGCCACCGACACCTCCACCCCCGCCACCACTCCCACCACCACCCCCACCCCCTCCACTGCCTCCACCGCCACCTCCACCGCCCCCGCCAGCCCCTCCAGCGCCCTTGCCCCCCTTGCCCTTGCCGGTGCGGCGTCTCCCGCTAGGGGCAGACGTAGCGCCGACCGACTCGAAGCCAACGAGGTCGTCCGCAGCAGCAGAAGCAACAGAGGGCAAGAGGGGGGAGGGGGAACACCCCTCAAAGACAGGGGTACGGGGGTCACCACGAGAGGCTCCTACAGCGACTATGCTCTTCTCTGCTGCCAGGAGGCGCTCCTCGAGGAGGTCAACGGTGAGTGTGGTGGGGCAAACTGAGAGGAAGTGGTCCCTGACTAAGCGAAGGGAGTCAGGGAGCCGGGTAACTATGTAGTAGAGGGTGATGTACATAGGGGGAGGGTTCTTGGCACAGAACTCAGCAGGAAGCGCAGCGCGGTAGCGAGTGTCACTAGTGCGAAGGTGCGTAATGAGGTCAGCGACTGTGGGAAAGGCAGCAAGGTCAGGGAACAGGTACGGCAGCATGAGGCGGCTAAGAGCAGCAGTGGGAGGGGAAGAGTAGCGTGCAACTACAGCGTCGTACAAGGTCTTAGCACTTTTGTACTGACTAATGTGCGCACGCTCAGCGGTCGGTAAGTGGCGACGCACAGCAAGACGGGCAGCAGCATCGCGTGTGGCCCACTGTGAGCGAACAGTGCTGTCAGCATCAGCAGGCGGGGCAGGAGAGGCACCAGAGGTGAGATCGAACAGGGAGAGTCCGTCTGCCCTATCGCACTGGAGGAAGAGCTGGAGGTCATCGACCCAGACCTCAAAGTCAACAGCACGGCCCTCAGCATCAAAGGTAAGGACACTGGGGGTAGCCATGACAGCAGTGGTCTAGCAGGGAGTGCTCTCACCAGTCCGGGTGGGTAGGGCCGGGGCGCGCCGGTAGGAACAGTAGCAGCTCGACGGCGGCTCGGCGGCAGCGGCTCGGTAGTGGCGGCTCGACGGCGGCCTCGGCGGCTCGGCGGCTCGGTGGCTCGGCTCGGTGGCTCGGCGGCTCGGCTGCCGGGCGGCTCAGCTGCTGGGCGGTTCGGTGGCTCGGCGGTTCGGCGGCTCGGCGGCTCGGCGGCTCGGCGGCTCGGTAGCTCGGCGGCTCGGCTGCTTGGCGGCTGAAGGGGCCGTGAAGGGCGGCGACGGGGCCGCTAGAGGCGGCGACGGGGCCGTGAAGGGCGGCAACGGGGCCGCTAGAGGCGGCGACGGGGCCGTAAAGGGCGGCGACGGGGCCGCTAGAGGCGGCGACGGGGCCGCGAAGGGCGGCGACGGGTCCGCGAAGGGTGGCGACGGGGCCGCTAGGGGCGGCTACGGGGCCGCGAAGGGCGGCGACGGGGCCGCTAGGGGCGGCGACGGGGCCGATAGGGGCGGCGACGGGGCCGCAAAGGGGCCGCGAGGGGCCTCGAAGGGCGGCGACGGGGCCGCTAGGGGCGGCGACGGGGCCGCAAAGGGGCCGCGAGGGGCCTAGAGGGGCGGCGACGGGGCCGTGAAGGGGCCGCGAGGGGCCTAGAGGGGCGGCGACGGGGCCGCAAAGGACGGCGACGAGGCCGTAAGGGGTGGCGACGGGGCCGCTAAGGGTGGCGCGAGGGGCCGTGAGAGGGGTCTCTAGGAGGGCGCGACAGGCCACTAAGGGCAGGGGACGCGACGTGAGGGCGGCCAACGGGGCGCGCCTCGGGCAGGGGCGACTCGCGCTCCGGTCAGGAAAAAAAGTCGATTTCAGTGGTGGGCCCTGAGAAGCGTTCCCACTAGGGAACCTGCTCTATACCATGTGAAGAAATGAGGAATGGATTGACTAAGGAAAATGTGGGTACAAGTAGGAAACCTAGAAATGTTGTACCCTATAGTGTCTACCCCACTACAGCCTAGATAGTCCATAGTATATAAGTTTGACAGTAGGCAGTAGACAGCAGGCTAAGACAGAGGCAGTAGGCAGTAGGCAGTATAGGCAACGTGCAGGGCAGTAGCTTGCTGCACCCGAGCTCCTAAGGTGGGGCTCTAGACAGTGGCAGGCCGTACAGTTCGAAGGCAGTGGGTTCGGCAGCAGTGAGCCTCACAGGCAAGTACACAAGTAGGGCGCGCGCGGCTGCTGGCTGCGTGCGGCTAAGGGCCGCGCGTGGCTCTCTGCTGCGCGTGGCTACGTGCTGCGCGCGGCTCCTGGCTGCACGTGGCGACTGGCAGCGCGCGTGCGGGCAGCGGGCTCTACGTTGCGCGCGGGCGGCGGGCTCTGCTTAGGCTGCGCGCGGGCGGCGTAAGGGGCGCGCGGGCTCTACGTGGGCTACGCGGGCGACGCGGACCGGCGCGCGGCTCTGCAGCAGTGGCGCGCGCTAAAAATCAGAGACGCGCGCGCTAGAAACCGAGGCGCGCGCGAGAAAAAATAAGTGACGCGCGCTGCTGCCGAGGCGCGCGCGAGCAGTGGGCAAGGCAGGCAGTTAGGTGGGCCCGATTTGTAGGTCCTAGAGACCTCCTGCTCTAGTTACCATGTTAAGAACCTAAGGCAAGAATGGGTGAATTAGGAGAAGGCTAGGGTACAAGACTAGGGTATCGAGAAAGTTTGTGTACCCCCTAGTGCTAACCCCCATACAGCCTAGATAACCTAAACAAGCATATATATATATAATTTGACAGACTTTGGAAACGCTATTAAACTACAAGATGCGCATCTGCAGCTGGAAGATAATGATTCATGGTGTCAAGGTTCTAAGGAGTTCCCGTCAGTGGGAGCTGAAAATGTTTCACGAAGGCAACTTGTTTCATGGAGCAGCTCCATCTGCTGCTGCAACATTACATCATCAGTTTTCCTGTCGAATATTTGGAGGCGTTCGAGTCAGTTTGCGTCACCCCAAACGCCCGATCAGAAGTGTCATTGGAACCGGCTTTCACGCATTCTCACTGAAGTGACATTCATAGCAACCACTCCTTCCGTCATTCGCCTCAAGCAGGTCAAAGAGTGCAATCATCCCGACCTACCACTTTCGACAAGGCAGGTTCGGCGCCAGCCTGCCAAAGCCGAAGCAACAATTACAGCATGTGGGATGTGCCAAGGTGTTTCTGCGAGGTGTGGGATATGTCAAAGGCGTGAAGGGAACTTTGAGCAGGCATGTTGCATTTTTTAGGCACCTGACCTTCAAACCACCGTAGAGGTTTACGCGAGGGTACGGTACGATTGTACATAGGCCCTCTAGCCCAGTTACGACCGTGGAGTGTGTTTTTTGCATTGTATAATGTAATTTCACCTCCTTCAAAAAAAAAAAAAAAAAGTGAACCCGAAATCTCAACCCACGGGGAAGGGACATGTGATACACGTAGACCTTGAAGCGCAATCCCCTAGATAGTACGAAACACATGTCGTCGTCACATTCGATCGCAACCTTATGACAAGAGGGAGCAGAAGCACCTCCTCTCTACCTACAGCTGTTGCTCATTTGAGTCCCCCAAGGTTGCCTTGTGCATTGGGACTGTAAATGCTTTTTGCATTTCGAGAGGTTCGTTGGGTTTCGCCACGCCCGTCGCGTGCTTTTAAAAAACACAGATTGTTACAGCCTTGTTTTTACTGGAACAGTAAAGGGTAGCATCAGTTGTTCCTTATGTGTACTTGTTGTTACCACTTTGTTTCCCCATTGCTGCATCGCCCAATTACAACTGACAACCAAATCACACACTTACATAGCCAGAACACAGCCCACCCGCAACCAAAGTGTTCTTACACTCTTAGGCCAATCACAGCTCGACACCTAGTATACAGGAAACTCCTCCAGTCAACGCTGACATTGCATCAATGTCAATGAAATGTTGACTCTGTTGCCAAGCATGAAGGGAGTTGGAACTCCTCTGAGGTGAGATTCCAACACTCACAGACGCACCCACTCAGCCGCATCAACAAAACCGTCCACGACGGCAGGAACGCCGACGTCAATCAGCGCCTGGCGGGGAGAGGGCACTGTCATCCACGCAGGGAGTACGCGGCCGCGAGGAGGAGGGCACACGCCATCAGGGGTAGCGGAAGGCCGGGGAGTGGCGATAGGCGTCATGTTCTAGTTGATTGGCGAGCTTGCCCGCTCCATGCGCCCCACGATGATGGGGTTGCGAATTTCGAAGAGAGCGCAGAGCTCGCGGGGGGTGACGCATTTCGCGCGCGCATATCCGATGAGCATTTCACACGCCGCCTGCGCCGTGCGACGTGCTTCGCGCGTCGCCGTGTCCACATCGTCGAACACGGTCTGCATGGTTGCGGGCAGCTCCCAAGACTGCGCCGAATACGCCGTGGCGGGCTCAATGGCGAGGGGATCCTCGCCCGGTTTGGCGCGCGTCGGCTGCCCGTCATCAATGGCGACGAAGTCGGCGGCCGGCATTGCACTCGGACCGAGCGCCAGCCGGTCGATCAAGATGCCCACGTCGCCAATCTCCTCGTCGAGATCGATGGGCAGCGGCGCAGTAGCCGTGCCGCCGGGAGTGAGTCCACCAGCGCCCACGTGGGCCAAGGATAAGGCCCACGCAAGCGGGAGACAGCCCGTGCGCCACCAGCAACGCTGGATGGTGCGCGGGCCGATGTTCATCCACGCGTCGAGAAGCCAGTCGAGGACCTTGCGGAGATTGGGCTTGAAGCGCGCCAGAGTCGCCGTGGAGCTGCCTTCCACCCACAGGGCCGTCACCGCCTCGAGCCAAGGCTGGCGGTACCGAGCCTTCATCATCACGATGAGGCCCTGGTCAAGCGGCTGGGTGAAGCAGGTGGTGTTCGGCGGGAGGAACACCAGCCGGTGTTGCGGAGGGAGCGAGTGCGGAAGCCGAAGATGTCCTCGGACTCCGCGTGCTCGCTCTTGAGGACGTGGCTGGAAGCATTGTCGAGAAGGATGACAATGCTCTGCTCCTCCGCGAACATAGCAGCATCTAGCTGCTCCATGAAATGAGTGAAGAGCTGTCGCAGGAAAAACAGTCTAGAGCGAGAAAGAATCAGTGAGTGAGATTGCATGTGCGAATTTCGCCCGGTTGGGCTAAAAATGCATGGGGCTGGGTTGGACAAATGTAACGGGCGAGCGAATGAGCTTGACATCGTTTACTGCAGAGGTAATCCACCCCTTCGCGTTGTGGCGCCAGTAACAAACGGCGTCGGGGTCGTAATCCGGACGGAACGCATGCGGCCGCTTCGACTTGGAGATGACGAGCGGGCGGAACGCGTGGCTTCCATCTGCGTTCACGAGCAGGTCGACGGTGAGGCGTTCCTTGGCGCACCGCCGTAGGTCTTTCGCGGAAGGACCGAGATCCATAGCGCGGTCTCGTCGAAATTGAACACATCCCGCGGAGAAACGGAAAGGTACATGAGAAGCTAAAGAAGCTTCTCACGGCATGTCCGCACCGCCGCCATGTCCTGATCGGCGGCCTCGCCCGATGAGGCAATGCAGCGGATGCCATTCCGCCGCATAGCACGGCGAACCCACCCGACAGAGCAACGGAAGGTGGATGGCTTGCCCATGTCGCGTGCCATCACGGCCACGTGGTCGCGGATGGTCGCCAGAGTGAGCGAGATCCCCGCAGGTCCGGCGCTGGAGATCCAGCGGACCATGGCACGCTCGAGGTCCGGATGAGCACCGCCGCCCACGCGGACGGTATTGTTAGACGCATTCGTGGCTCTCCATCGCTCCGTGCCCTTGATAACGCGGCCAATCGTGGAGCGGTCGGGGCGAATCCCGAACCGGGTGAAACACAAGCGCCCCAGGTCGACATGGCGCAAACGAGGGTAGCTAACGTGATGCTCGCATATCGCTCTCTTAATGTGAACGGGGAGCTGGGAGCAGCGGAGAAGGCGAGGCATGGTGAGAGAATGTGGGCTGACAATGACTTTGTAGCTCGAGTGAATGACATTTTATCCTCACATAGTGGTGCTCGTTTGCCTCTTAGCAAACACCCGATGAAACGTACAAAATGGGTGTGAAGAATGAACGAGGGAATGAATGAACTAGGAAGAGGGTGGGTACAAGTATGAAAACCTAAAAGAGTTGTACCCTATATTATCTACCCCACTACAGCCTACAATATGGTTCTGACACACCCCCATAGGCAAAGTGGGGGACAAGCAAGAGAACAAGGCAAGGTCAAGCTCAGGGTGGATCACAATGTCACCACACATTCTGAGCACAAGTTCAAGGCCACAAGGCCAGTTCACATGCAGGATTATAAATCAAGGTGAACAAGCAAGACAGTGATCTCAACCTAGCAAGGGTAAGCATGCAGGTGCAGGTATATAAAGATCACAGTACAAGCAAATTCAAGAGGTAAGCAAGTGAGGCCCGGAAGGCACAACACCTAGCATAGTACAGAAACGCTAATGATCACAAGGCTGAAGTGCCTTGGTAAAGATATCAGCAGTGTTGGCCCGAGAGGCCACGTAAGCAAGACGAAGCTGACCGCGCTGCTGCAACTCTCGAGCAAGGAAGTAGCGCAGAGCAATGTGCTTCGTTCTGTGCTCCAGTCTGTGCTCCTGACACAAGGCCAGCATGGCCTTGTTGTCGACGTACAGAACTGGAGGAGAACGAGGCGCCTCTCCCAAGTCGGTCAGCAGGTAGGTGAGCCAGTGTAACTCCTGTGAAGCCATGGCCCCAGCGTAGATCTCAGCCTCACAACTAGAGCTGAGAACGGAGGACGAGCGGGTAGACCGCCACAAAACAGAGCCAGAAACAAGGCTGAAGGTGTAACCCTGTGACGACCGCTGCGTAGCCAAGTCGTCAACCCAAGAAGCGTCTGCGTGATCAGTGAGAACAACTCGAGCCCGTCCTCCAAGCACGAGCCCCATGCCCGACGTACTGCACAGGTAGCGCAACACCGTCTTAGCTGCAGCCATGTGCTCTGGTTGGTGTCTTCCAGGAGCAACATAGCGAGCCAAGATGCTAAGAGGGTATGCCAAGTCAGGTCGAGTGCAGGTCATCAGGTACATGAGGCAGCCAACAAGCTCTGGGTACGGGCCACTCGGCTCTACGGACTCATCCGAAGGCAGAGCTGAGAGCGAGTGGCGAGTAGACAGAGGAGTGGCTTGAGGCGAGGAGTACGTGAAGTCAAAGCGTTGAAGGACCTGCTGCACCATGTGTGACTGAGTCAAGGTAATGGTGCGCCGTGCTCTGTCCCGGGTGATCTGCAAGCCAAGATAGCTGCGCAGTTTGTCAAAACATATGCATAATTGTATCTAGGCTATATTGGGGCTAGCCTTAGGGGGTACACAAATAGTCTCGACACTCTAGTCTTGTACCCCAATCTTCACCTAATCATCACCTTTCTCGTTCCCTAGCTAGTGATTCTAACATGGTATCAGAGCTGTACGGGCTGCGCGACGGCCTGGCGCGGGCTGTACGGGCTGCGCGACGGCCTGGTGCGGGCTGTACGGGCTTCGCGACGGGTCTACACGGGCTGTACAGGCTTCGCGACGGGCCTACGCGGGCTGTACGGGCTTCGCGACGGGCCTACGTGGGCTGTACGGGCTTCGCGACGGGCCTACGCGTTCAGGGGGGGGTCGCACGTGACTAGGAGGAAAAAAAATCGCGCCTAGGGAACCGTCTCGCCTAGAGCACGGTTTCGAATTTCGCATTTCTCCTAGGGGCGCGACTCGGGCAGTAGATCGAAATAGTAGTGGTAGGCCCTTTTTAAAAAATCGGTCCTAAGGAGCATTGTGCTCTTAATACCATGTTAGAGTACAGACTGGAGCACAGAACGAAGCATATCGCTCTACGGTACTTCCTTGCTCGAGAGCTGCAGCAGCGTGGTCAGCTTCGTCTGCGTTACGTTGGCCACTCGGGCCAACACTGCTGATGTGTTCACCAAGGCGCTTCAGCCTTGTGACCATCAGCGCTTCTGTACTGTTCTAGGCCTTGTGCCTACTGTGCCTCACTTGCTTACTTCTTGACTCTGTTTGTACTGTGATCTCTATATATATACCTGCATACTTACACTTGCTAGGTTGTGCTCACTGTACCCCTTGCTATATTATTAAACTGCATGTGAACTGGTCTTGTGACCACTTGCTTGTGCTCAGAATTTGTGTGGTTTCCTCGAGATCCACCCTGAGCTTGCTTTGCCCTTCCTGACTGGTCTTGTGACCACTACTTGCTCTGGCTATCCCCCATTTCGCCTATGGGGGTGTGTCAAAACATATGCATAATTGTATCTAGGCTATATTGGGGCTAGCCTTAGGGGGTACACAAATAGTCTCGACACTCTAGTCTTGTACCCCAATCTTCACCTAATCATCACCTTTCTCGTTCCCTAGCTAGTGATTCTAACACAGTTCACCCAGGTCTGTGCACGTGTGTCTCTTCTGCAGCTCCGACTTCACGTGGGCCAGTCTAGCAGTGTCAGCAGTAGAAAAAACCAAGTCGTCGACGTACACGAGGATGTAGAACGGCGGCAAAGTAGTGTCGGTGCGCAGAAACAGCGATGGGTCAGCATTGGAAGGAGCAAACACAAGAGCAAGTGTAGTCCTCAGTGTGTCGTGCCACTCGCGGGGCGCCTGGCGGAGACCGTAGACTGGCCGCCGGAGGCTCCATTGGGTACAAGGAGGAAACGACCCAGTGAAGCCAGGTGGGCGGCGCAGCCAGATCTCCTCATGCAGGCTGCCCTTTAGGAAAGCAGTGCTGAAGTCAACAGAGTGAAGCTCGTAGTCACGCTGAGCAGCGACGTGCAGCAGAACTCGAAGAGTGGTCATCTTCGGGGTCGGGGAGAAGGTCTGGAAGAAGTCAACTCCCTGTCGCTGACTGAAGTCTCGAGCAACGCAACGCGCCTTGAAGACAGGCGGAGAACCCGGCGGCCGCTTCACCCTAAAAATCCACATGCCACTGACGATGTTTGCCTCAGGAGGGGGAACCTCGTCGACGTAGGTGCCTGTGGACTTCCAGGATGCCATCTCTGCGTCCATGGCTGACTGCCACTGAGAGGAGTAGGGACCCTCTATCGCCTCTGCGTAAGAGCGTGGGGTCGGGATGTCTGGTGTATCCGGGTCTCCCTCAAGGGTAATCAGCATGGACACGAGATGAGGTACAGCGGCTGCAAAGCACTCAAAGTCCTCCTGCCTGTCCTCAAGGACGTCCGTGCCAAGAGCACACTCACCCCCGACGGACGGAGGACAGACAGACTCAGACTCAGGAACAAGACTCGCGGCGTAGTCTAGACGATAGTGAGCAGCAAAGTCGACAAGCTCAGCAACTAAGGCAGACGCAGCAGTGGACTCAAAGGAAGAGTCACTGAGAACAGTAGCCAGGAGACGCGTGACAGTAGGACTAGCAGCACGAAGGGAGTTAGACTCCGGGTCAGAAAGAGCAGGAAGAGAGGACGCAGGAGGAGACGGCAGAGGGACACGCTGTGGAGCAGTGGAAGGGCGCAGAGCCATCCGGTGCGTGCCAGGGACAGGAGGAGGACGCTGACGCGAACCACGACGACTAGTGCTAGCAGCACGAACAGGCGACGCAGGACGAGACGCAGGCTCACGACGCTCAGCAAGACCTTCAGTCGGACCAGTGTAAGGAGAAGGAGCAGGCAGTGGGGAGGCCGACGGCAACTATGACTGCGACTGGACAGGCGGTAGACACTCTAATGAAGGAGCAGGACCAGTAGAAGGCGGAAGACCAAGAACCTGCTGAAGGAGCGGAACGTAGTACGGCCGCGGCCGCGCAGCGCCTCGAGAACCAGCAGGGACAGCACGAGCACCCCCAGCGGGAGCTCCAACTCCAGCAGCACCACCAGCTCCAGCAGCACCTCCAGCTGCTCCAGTAGCGCCAACTCCAGCACCCACAAGAGCACCGGCTTCAGCAGCACCTCCAGCTCCAGCACTGGAAGCAGCTCCAGCTCCTGCAGGACCACCAGAAGACCCAGCAGCTCCAGCTCCAGTACCTCCAGCAGCACCTGCTCCAGCAGCACCGCCAGCTCCAGCACCTCCAACAGCTCTAGCTCCAGCAGCACCCCCAGGCCCAGCAGCTCCAGTACCTCCAGAACGAGCACCTCCGGGACTCGTGGCTCTAGAACCCCCAGCAGCTCCAGCACCAACAGGACCTCCAGCAGCAGCAGGACCTCCAGCGCCCGTAGCACCACCAGCTCCAGCAGCACGGCTCCAGCGCCAAGCAAACCACTAGCGCAACTGCTGTGGAGAGAGTGACTCCCGACGGGACGAAGCACCCGAAGGACCGCCAGGCTCAGCACCCTCAGGCTCCGCACCCCCAGACTCAGCAACCCCAGGCTCAGTACCCCCAATCTCAGCACCCCCAGACGCAGCAACCCTAGGCTCAGCACCCGCAGGCTCCGCACCCCCAGGCTCAGCACCCCTAGCAGCACCAGAGTCAACAGCTACCTTGACAGGCTCGACTGCGTCTACCTAGGACACACCTGAGGGGGCAGGACCCTGAAGGGGGAGGGGGTCTACCAGGGGGGGACCTGGCGCAAGGAAGAGCGGCGGGGGGGGGAGGGGGGCAGTGCGGTAGGGGAAGAGACGGTAGTAAGGAACCGACTCGTCAAACGTGACGTCCTGAGAGGACAGAACACGGCGCGAGGTGGGGTGGTAAAACTGCCAACCAGGCGCGTCAGGGGGGA